TTAATGAGTGATAAATTTACTGATGAGTTTAACAGCTGTGAAAATACCAAAATACTTTGTCCGTTCTTTGATGCTGTGGATCTGTGTCACGGGCATGGAGATTTATTTGGTAGCCATTTCTTTTATGATGAAGTGTCCCCAAGACTGCTGTAGGTAGAGGTCTCTGTCATTCCTGGCATCTGGACTGTGGGGAGCTGGGTAGATTAAGAAGATCCAGGGTTTGGAGTCACTCTTCATCAACTTAAAACAGACACAGACCTCCAGCTGAGAACACTGACTCAATGCCTGTCTGTTTTATGTTGAGATACTGGAGTGCTTTGCTCAAGTATTTGTTCTAGTAGCTGCTTGTAGACTGTTAGATGTCGAGTTATCTGTAGAGTCGCAGGAGAGTATAACGAGGACCTCGGTATAAGATAGACAGAAGTGTGGTATACAACTTCTCTGCAGGCAGTTCATGGTTGGAGGAAAGTAACACAAACAGAGGCATCTTGTTTGGATGAGTATAGAGGAGTAGTGAGTACAAAACATAAATGCATGAAGTCAGGTAATTTGCATGGAATACCAAGAAAGAACTTCCAAGTGCAAGAGTTGTCCTAGGATAGGACTACATCAACTTCTGTTTTACTATCAGAAAACTGATTCTGAATCCTTATAAATCAGTTCCCATAGTGAAAGTAGGCTAAAAAGATAGGTGATTCGAGATAGTAATTTAAAAGAAGAACATTTTTGGACTCAAGGCCAAAGTTAATTAAGTTAACTGACAAGGACATTCACATTTGAAAGATTGAGGACCTAGCAATTTGTCAGAAGCCCAGCTTTTCTTAAAAACATTATTTAGTTGTTTTTGGAAAAGAACTTTAAAATTAACTTTAAGGGCGCATGAATTGAAAGACAAATAAAAGGACATCCTTTTATTAAGTCCATTATGTTTTTAACTTTAAAGCTGGCCTCATGCTATTGTGGAGTCTGCCACAGTTTGCTGGAAAGCTTAAAATAACAGAGCTATAATAAATTTCCTTGAGCATTGTCCGAGAGTCTGATTCCATCTGACAAAAAAACATGCTAAAAGAACAGTAATTTCTACTGGCCTCAATTTCTATTTTTAGGTGGAAAGTAATTGGTTAAAGCTACCACATTTTCATTTTTTTAAAAAATGTTTTTTCTTTCTAATGAATCAAATAGTTGGGAGAATTTCAGCCATGTCCTGTTTGGAGGGGATGACAATTCCTACACTGATAATACATTTGCTTTGGGTATCTGTGGGAGCCAAAGATTACCGTCCTCTCATTTACATGATCAGTTGGGACATTATCTTCTGAATAATCCAAGCTATTGAGTAAGAAGTACTTCTGCAGCAGCTTAAATGAAGATATTGTCAAATTAGTCTCCAAAGCATCCACTTAGCCCTGAGAAAAGCTCCAAATTAAGACTCCTTTTGTAAGGAGATTTGTATGGTTGGGTCTCCTTATGTAATGATGATATGCTAATCTATGTAATCTACTAAAGCCTGCACAGTTCTTGTATTTAAGCTATAGGCCAGACAGGAGGACCTTTCATGCCGTAAGAGCACTAGCATGGCCCCACGATTCAACGAGTCTTAAAAAATAAAAGGTTTGCTTACCTCAGGATTTTCAAAGGAGAAACCATTTATAACATAAGTAGAAATAAGGCTATAAACTGGCACATTTAGCTCTGTTTTCCCATAGAAGTAAAACTAGTGTGCTATGGCAGGCTTAAGGCTTTTAAGTGTATACCCAGTTCTCTGCAGAGCTTCGGGGGCTCTGTGTATAGCAGCAGGAGGAGCTGTTGAATGTGAAGCCTGACCAGGTCAGGAGACAGCGTGTTGATGATTCATAGATCTACAGGCTGTCTTCACTGAGAGGAGATCACTGCTGCAGGTGGTAGCACCCAAGGGATGTTTCTGTCAGTGGAGAGGTGGGATTCCTCCCTGCAGAGATCTTATGCTAGTTTTGCTGCCTGTTGTGTCAAGTTTTCAAGACTTATGTAACCAAGTAATCACCTGACTGGTAGTTTTCGAATCAGGTTTTAATATCCCAGCTTCATTGTCTGCTTGTTTTTACATATGACTTTAGGAATGTGTCAAGTGTTATATCAGAGCAGATTAGTGGTTTAGCACTGTTTCTGGCGATGATCAATGCTGGATGCTTTGCAGACACTAAAAACTGCCCAGGATGAGGTTATTACCCTAAAGCATGAAGTCTCAGAGCACTGAGAACAATTAATCCAAACTACTAGCATTACAGATGTTTTTCTTCTGCTCCTAGGATATGTCTGATTTTTTTAGAATGATATTAAGCTCTTTGCTTTCATCATATTCCAAACAGAAAACTAAACAACTAAACTAAGAGTGTACTTTCTAAGTTTCTTCTTCTGTCTGATGTATTTGACCAAACAAAAGTCCCACAGCTTTTTTCATTCAGGGGCTTACAGATACATAATACAAATGACTAATGAAACTTTTCTGTAGTAAATGTTATGTACTCATTGCTAAGTTATATCTTATAGTTTGTTTGTTTTGTTTTGTTTTTTTTTTGGGGGGGGGGCTATTTGTTTGAGTGGAGTTTTTCTGTTTGGTTGGTTTGATTTGGTTTGGTTGGTTTTTTTCCCCAGAAACAAGAAGTTCCATTTTCACATGTCTTTCATGGGGCATAACTAATCCCCTGTTTTTGATAATTGTTGCTCTTTTCCAGACATTTTTGCTTTTTGTTACTTATTATATGTGCTGAATGAAACTAAATGCAAGAAACACAAGGATTATGAAATAGCATAATATTCTGTCTTCTCTGCAGTTTAACATTAATCTCTGCTGAATGGTGCTAGAGGCAGAGCAAAAGGCAGGAGTCTGCACTTATTTTGAGATCATTCCTCTAGGAGGTAACAAATATTTTAAAACCCTAAGCTAAGTCGTCTTCAAGAGTCTTTGCAGTATGTTTCTTCATACTTCACTTTTAAATTTAATCTGTTATTACGCTGCTCAGTTACTTTTGTACTAAATCCTCTAGATACTCTCCTGTACTCTTCTTGTGTCCTAATAAATGCATTAATCACCTCTGTTTTAAGAACCAAAAGTCTGATTGTTTCTGAGATGTGTAAAGGTGGGGTAGAAAGTGAGTATTCTCTCCTGATGGAAAGTAAGCTTTCTGACTCCTGTCAGTTCATTTTCCTTTTGTCCTCTTGATAGCCACTGAGCCTTTTGTACTCTGAATTCTTGCACAGAAAATAGCGCACTGCTGGGGCACTGTGTCCTGACTGGCCTCCTGAAGATCTCACACATGAATAAAGTAATCAGAGATTTACCTTTCTGCCATGATTCTTTGCTAGTACCTCCTCCTGTAAAGGAAAGTCCAGTGGATAACGACTAACTGGAAGCATGGTTCTGTTTGAGCTGTATATGCAGTGTATGATCCTGGCAGTCTCCTGAACTCTGGGGATTTGCTTGAGAGGAGAGGGGAATATATCTGATCTCTTAATGGGGCAGCTTAGAAGGCTGCAATGAAAAAAACTGTCAATGAAAAACACAATGGCATTTTGCTCCCTCTTCAGGTCCTCTCTGGGAAACAACTGAATAATCCCTCATTTAATCAAGCAGTTAAAAAAACCCCAATGAATGCCTATGTGCTGTTTCTGCTTCTGTAATCGCCACTTGGCTGCAACTCCTTAAGATATTAATTGAAACAATATTAGTTGTGTTCCTGAATTCTGGGTAGCAGCAATATTAATCTGTCAGCACACAGAAAATAGCAATTTAAGTTTATTCTTTGCATTCTTTTTGCAAAGCCAGTTGCTAATCCATGAGATAGCTTTCCACTAAAGTTTACTTTGCTGCTTTCTTATTTTCAAAAGGCTTTTAAAAAATGATTTAAGATGTTTAAATATATTGCATTTGCGGCCTTTTTTGTTTGGTTGGTTTTTGTTCACACTTCAGGAATCCTAAACAGCTCAGTAAGCACAACATGGCAGCAGTGTCGTTCTGTCTCTATCTCTTGCTCTTAACTATTTTTATAACCACCAAGTTAATGCCCGCTGTTTATCCTTAGCTACTATATTGACCACTTGCAGCCATCTAGGGCTAACTCCTAATAACAGATTACATGTTTTCTGTAGCTTACCAGCTTCATTCTAAAGCTGCTTCAAAGCCCTGCTGGGATTGCTAAATCCCATTCTCCCTCTACCAGTCTTCACTGCAGTCTCTATGGCCTTTCCAGTTCTCTTAAACATTCCTGTCTTGGACAATGAGTAAAAAAGGAGAGAGAAGAGGCTGAAATACAAGCCACAATGGGTTTGACATAGGAATGTAGGCTTGGGGAGGCCACGGTCAACCTTAGAACATGGAGGCTTTGGGAATGTGCTGTGCACAGACAAAGAGACTCCACAGCTCACGAGCATCGTGTTTGTCCCTGTGTGTGCGTGGTAGTGCTGACATTATTGGCATTTGACTCCCTGCAGAGTAGCAAAGGGTTCTTTTGACCTGGAAGCTTGGTGCTTGTGAGGGCGTGCAAAGGGCCTTATTGGGTCAGTAACTATGATCCCCAGCTGATGCTGGCAACTGTGTCATAGCTCCTGTCATAAACTGGTCAGGTCCATTGTGAAGCAGCCTGTTTTCTGATCCTCTCCTCGTCTGTTGAAATCCTGAACCTCCCTTCTGTGACCATTAAAAATCATCTGGTGATTCCTAGCCTAAGCTTATTTGAGTTAGACTGTAACGCTCATTTGTGAATCCAATTGGCCTTTAATGAGCAAGCTCTTTCCATAACCAGCATTTATCCCACTAATGTGTTTCTCAAAAGTCATGTTTTCACAGCCTCTAGTCCAAAACAAACTCTTCTAGTCTGCTCAAATAGGCTGCATATGTCCTGGGCTACCCTAGCTGCTCTTCTCTTTACTGTTTGAATTTATTGTGGTTCTTTAGGAAAGGACAGGCAATTTGTATTGAGGTACTTTCTGGTTTTTACTCTGTTTTTAAAGGACCAAGGAATGTGTCAGTTAAAGAAATAAAAAACATTGAAACCATACAATTTGTCCCTCAGTAGGTCATTTGTCTCTCCTCATATGGAATCATGAAAACATTTTTGTGCTGCTGTCTTAGAGAAGGCATGTTGCAGCTCCAGCAGTGCTGTTTGGTGCTGAGGAACGTCACAGCTAGGAATCCATTCAGGCAGTGCTGCCTCTCTTGGCTGGTCCTCTGGTCTCCATGCAGGCTGACATGCTTCTTGATGCCAAAGCTTGTGCAACTAAATTCTGTTTTCCTGACTCGTTACATCCAGTGGTAAGCCTGGCTTACTTAAACTAACTGGGGTTTCCTGTATTGTATATTGATCCAAATGGCTGGGCTTGAAGTCTGCGTAGGAAAGGGAACATGCAGATTTTGGAAGGGATTCAAGTTTGGGCCTTCCTGAAAGCTGCCCCCTGTACAATCCTTCTGTTTTCAATGTGTCAGTAATTTTCTGAAGTTAGTTTATTCGCAGCCTTGTATCCAGATAATGAACTTTGTGGTAGCATACCTGAGACAGAGTGGCCTGCTCTTGACTCACATCTCATTTCTGATCTGTGCTTTCTGTAACTTTACGCTGCTGACTTAGACTGGCCACTGCTTTTATTTTACTCAGCATTGCACCTGAGTAGCAGGTTCCTATGACAATAGGAACCCTGAATAAAGGCAGAGGCATCTGAACACTTGAGGAGTACTGCTCTTGCAGAATTGATTCATGGGGATGTTGACCTTGAAGTAAACATGCAGTGCACCCTTCAAGAGGTCTCACTTGTGAGACACTAGGCAGGAATGTTTCTTTCTATATGGAGGAAGTAACAGGATTTACACTGTCACCTAAGTCTCTTATTTTAACAAGGGCTGCTTATTTTAGCAGACCATTGCCTGAAACTAGTGAAATGGCTCAGTTAGGGGTCTCCCAGGCAAAGGGAAGCAGCCCAAACATTCATCCCTGCCACATAGGGAGCTTAGAGTCAGTCTTTATGCTTTGGAAAAGAAAGTATTCTGCTTCATCCCATTGTATAAGATATAAATGAGTGTAGATGTCTTGTACTCTCTTCTCCTTTCTTCTATCAGCATCTGTCTTCCCATTTGTGGTCTCATAAGCGATATGATAGTATAAACAGTGACTTGCATTAGTGTGTTTTTAACTTCTTTTAGGAACTGTTGCAAGGGGCACTGAGGATGCTCACTGGCATGTGGCTTTTTAGCTTTCTCAAGCACAGTTTGATCCACTGCTTGAATACTGTTACCCTGTATTAATCATTTGTACTGTTGAGGCTTCAAATACTGGTGCAGAGTCAAAGCTGCATTGTAAAGGAACTGTTCAAACATAAAGTACATTTGAATCCTATAGCCAAAGAATGGACTTTAGCAGTTACTGTACTGAGCAATCTGAGTGTTTGGTATTTAACGTAAGTATCCTTTAAGTGGAAAAATGTTGTTCAGATAAATCAGCATGGCCCAGGGAAGGCCTCTGCCAATCACACTTTGGAAGCCAGAGGGCAATAAAACTGCTCGGTTTTGAATTAACATAAGCTGCTAGTCTGGATTTTCATTTCCGGAGACAAGCTGTTGAAAGTGTTCTTTAAAGTGTTCATCATCGTAAAGTGAAACATTTGTTTCTTCACCACACTGGAAAAAAAAAACTAGACAGCTTTTCCATTTCAGATACAGGGATTCAATTATCAGAAACTTGTAAATGCAATTTCGAAAGGGATTTTCTTACTTGGATTTTTTTTTTTTTTAATCCAATAGAAAAAAAGCAGGACAGTTTGGGGACTTTTTATCCAGGGCCATTTTGGGACTATAACTAAGAAAATGACAGCATCTTACCTAGTCGTCCTTCTTCTTGTATGTCTGTGCAGTTTGAGCCTGGAAGTGCTGTAAAGCCAGCAGAGCAGGAATCCATTTTTGCTGTTTTACCTGCAGAATTGCTTAGTCAGTTACAATCAATTAGACCTGTGTATGTGCTCTGCATGACAATGTGCAGGTGTCACTGAAGGGCTTAAGCCATTACAGGTAATGATGCATTAGCAAAACGCAGCTCAACTTGATTTGCTATGCTTATATACCATGTTATGCTTTGTTTGCATGGGCAGCATTTAGTACAAATAGTATCTTTTCAGTTTTATACAGGCCACACAGAATATAAAAATTGTTGAAGGCAATAAACATTGAGTTTTCCAATATAGTTTTTTACATTCTTTAGAGTAAATCTTTGCATTAAAATAGAATGTGATGATGTTACTGATGTACCCTTAAGGAAGAAAGGCAAATCACTCACGTAAATAGAAGAGGATGAATCATAGAAACTCCACCAAACTTAAACTGGTATAGTTAGTAAGGAGGCAATAGTCTGCAATGGTAATAGGTCACTTATCAAATACACGATGTGCAATAAAGACAGTGAGTTGATGAGTTCAGTGGAGTTGTCCTGATTAACACCAGCTGAACATCTAGCCAATATGTTTCAGTCTCGGCAGTGCTGCACCATTCGCATGAGAGCTGCCAATTCATTTTATGGAGACTGTTACTCATACTTCTCAAGGCAAAAGGTCATTTGAATTGCTGTCATGTGTTGGTCGCAACTTTAGATAATAAGATAAAAAATAAGCAGATAATCACAATAACTTTCCCCCCTGCAAACCCTGAACAAGCCATTAATCCACTGCAGAAGTTCTGTCAACCAGCTATGTCAGGACTGATTTAGTATACTGAACTTTTGCCTCTGTTTTAGAGTGAGCTTTGACCTGCGCTTAAGTATTATCAAAGGGAAGGCTTAATTCTGCTAGCTGAATCTGGTAATACTCTTGCCAGTATTACTTGTGGTGGAAGCATGAGATTCTTAGTAAATGCAGTACGTAGTAGTTCCACGTCTTCACCTAGTTCTCCAGTTAATCTGCCAACTGCTTTCACATAATAGTTATGCAGGATAAGGGGATTCATAGAACCTCTTCCTTAATGGAGACATTTTTATTGTCACACATTTTTATTGGTTAGGAAAACCAGATTTAATGCGCAGTCCCCCTGAAAAACCTCAGATAATTTACAGTTTGTGTGGTCTTTGTTACTAAATGACAAAAAATGAATTTCATTGAGAAATTTAGGGGTTAACATTTTGTGGTCTTTCATTGCTATCCCAAGTAAATTAATTTAATTAAAAATGGTTACCTGTGAAGTCCCGACTGTATGTTGTGATCCCCAGAACCCTTTCAGTGTTTCATAGCGTATTGGTTGCTCTTGGAGAGATGTTATGTTCTAGCTCTTTAAAAGTAGATTTACGGGCCACTGTCTTTGGTGGATTTGGATAGTATAATTGACCCTTTTCTTCAGCAAACTTAGGAAGCTGAAGGATAAGAAGAAATAGGTAAGGTATAATCCAAATATGTGTACTGCATGGAAAAGGCTATTTTAAAGGTTTGAAATAATGTGTAGTGTCGCCCTCCCCCCTCCCCCCCCAATTCTCTGTTTAGTAAATGCTAATAAATGTAAAAATGCGGTGGGAAGATGCCTTCAGTACAGTATTACTACTGAAGTGGAAGATTTAAGAGGTACATAATTCAGCTGAACTCAGTTCATATACCTTGGAATCAAGTTCTCCATAGTAGCCACACACACATTAGGCAGAACGTTAGATGCTATGTAAGCTTTCTTTTGTAGTCACGATTATAGACTGCCTTAAAATGGGCTGCCGCTTATTGTTTCCCTTGCCACATCCCTAAGACTGTGTGTCTACAAAGGCTGTATGTTTCTTTGTTCACCGCTTCCCTACACTATTCATAACTTTTTATCTGTCACTAAACTTCAGGCTACATCCCTCTGGGAAGAGAACTAGTGTTTAGCGAAGCTGAAGAATAGTAGAAACATGATAATTCATGAACAAATTTACTCTTCTGTTTTATGGACCAGCCCAGTCTCCATCATTACGCTGGGGAAATCAAGGTTGGAGTGAAAGACCATCCACAAAGAGGACATCTATTTTCCTGAAGACATGGAAACAGAGACACCAGCCTGTCAGTATGTTGGCAGGACTTGTGGAGAGGTAAGAAGGAGCAAAGATCTACTGCTGCCCAATCCCATTTCTTTGGAGGGCTGCAGATCATAGTCTGGGCTTCTGAATGAAGCCCGCCCTCCCCCGAATGTATGGTCAGCAACTATTATTGCTTCTTCTTGTTCTTATCTCCAGAGCTACTTGGCTAGGTCCTACGAGAGCTAGTTAGTACTTAAAGGCCTTCAGGTCACAGGACAGCCTGCTAGCTTCTAATCTTGTTTATATATTGCTCAGGTGGCCAAAATCTGTCTCTAAAGCTTTTCACTCTTTGTATGCATGATGCCTAATTCATGGCCTGAAGCTGCCTGGAACACTACAGGAGATCTCTGTGTAAAAATGTCTCCCAGGAAAGAGATGCAGAGAAATTTCATAAAAAAAAAAAAAAAAAAAAAAGACATTTTGCTCTTTTTTGCTCTTTTCTGTATGAACTATGTACCTGGAAGTATGCATGTGTTCGAGCCTTCTTCTGGAAGTCTTTGTGCCTGTATGGATTACCTACAGGGGAAATATTTAACATGTTCTAATGGAACATCATTGATCAAAATGACAGATGGCTCTGCATTTTAAGCTGTAGGCATATGCTCACTATAAAGACAGCTGGGCTGGTGGAAGAGGTTCTTTCTGTGAGCTGCTGCTAATGTCTCTTCTGCCTTGGTAGACTGAACTCATGGATCTGCAGACAGAACTCATCTTCACTCTTTTGGTACAAAATCAGCAGGGTTAGATCAGATCACCTGTTTAATCAGCATAAGTTAACCCAGCTGGCTTTTTGGAAGCACTCAGTGTGATTATCTGCACCACTAGATCCTGCAACGCTAGTTGTCTCAGGCAGAGGTGGTGACAAGCAGCTGAGGGCTGGATCTTATACCAGGTAAAGCTGCCTTTGCAGAAGGCCATCTGCCCATGGCCAGTTGCAGGAGCTCTGGATTGATTCACACACCATCAGGAAAGATTCTTACTGCGTTTTCTGTGCGTGATTCTTGCAAACAGCAACAACACGCAATAAAGCTTGATGAATTGTGAAGCTGGCTCTGAACTCATAATGTCACCATCAAAGGAATAACTGTGTGCTACTAGGTGTCTTACAAAAATGAAACTGCAGTGCGTGCTTGGAAGAGCTTAATTTCCACCCTGGTTCTGTCACTGCTTTTTCTCTCCAGTCTTTCTGCTTCACTTTCCGTATTTACCTCACAATGATGTTGTCAGCATTAACTACATAATGGCTACTCTGAGTTTTGTAAAAGTGAGGTGTAGAAAAGGCACAAAGTTTTAAGTACAACCTTCCAGTGGTAAAAGTTTACCTGAGTGTGGTCTGGGTTATCTGTACTTAATCAGATATTTCTCCTTCAGTCACTAAGAACTGGAGTGTCCTGATCTCAAAGGAAGTCAAACCATATGGAGGGAACAGCAAATGAAGTTAAAGTATTTTCAAGGAGCCAGTGGTAGCTGCCCCCTTAGCTAGTAATTGTGAACCTGCTAAGCTTTGCTGGAAATACGTCTTGGCCTCTGATGATCTTCCTGTTGTGCAAATACAGGCTTTGTAAGTCCACCTCCACACATGATTAGTGTTTCTTAAATTGACCAATGATCAATGAAAACTGACTAAACATGTCTACTCCTAACATTACATAATCTGTGGAAAGATTTTGGGTTTGGGTGGACAAATCCTCCACTAAAAATGGCTCGTGTACCCAATTATATACATAACTGTACAGCACTGTGCCGATGACAGGCAGTGGCATCTGATTAATGCAAATTGACCTCCTACTTAACATTATCAGCTTTTACTCTGCTGAAAAGCTTCTTACCCATGCCAGTGTACGCTTTTTCTGTTCCATACGGTTATTGCCGAACCCTTCGTGGCAAGCACTGCCGTGGCACACAGAGGTGTTGGCTTTCTCCTCTTCCAAATTCCCCATAACCCTGTGTGGTCAGAAGCTGCCAAGGACTCCTGATCAGTTCATACACAGGATCTTTAAAGTCTTCCAAAACAAAGTAACCTCTCAAAATCCCAATGGAGCAGAATGCCTCCAGGGAAATGCAGAGCAGGAACAAGAAGTTCATGCCCTTTTCCTCCAACATATTATGTAAAACACTCTCAGGCTAAAATGCTGCTGGGGTTAAAAACAAACACTTCATGATGGCTTACATGGTGTTCTGTAAATAATGAATGTCTAGGGCTTCATCTCAGTCTTTGTAAGGGATAAGAAGAGTTGCTTTTTCTCCCTGGACTTTGTTCTACCATCTGTGTAGTGATAAAATATTTTAAATCATTTAGCTCTCATGTCAGGGGCACCTCTGTTGTCCTCAGCAAAGGTATGGCAGGCATGACTTTGGCCCCAAAATTGCTAGTTTTTGATCCCACTGATGCAATTTTTTCCTTTATCTTCCATTGTTTTGGACCATGAAGAATTATTTGTCTGGCAGAAGATATCAGATACACTAAATGATCCATCTTGTGGGGTTTATCAGCTATGTTAATAGCTCTATTGGCCTCTGAGGCTACAAGGTAGTCACATGAGTCGGGTTTATTCATCATTCTCAGTGCTGAGGTTTCCTCCATGGAGACTGCAACTATCAGCACACAGAGCTCTAATTTAAACCAAGATGCTCAGCTTGACTACTGATATATTCAGATCCTGGTCTGTTAAGATTCAGTAGAAAAGGGTCGTGTCTTCAGTAGTGTTTCTAAATACATTTCAAGAATAAATGTTAAACCAACAGAGTGCTGTCGTAACTCTGGTCTTCCTCGGAACAACCACATCAAAAGCCTTGGGAGAGATATTGGGGTGGAAAGGCTGATCACTGCTTGCATCGATCCCAGTGTCTCAATCCTCAGGTAATCTGAAGTTTGGGAACTTGGTGTACATAGAGATGTGGGTCTGGTAAGGATGAGAGGTGGGAAATGGCAGGCACAGTGACCTTGGAGTGGTTGGAGTTGTCAGGACAAAGGACAGAAATAAAGAAAATTTCCATATTTTGCATTTCACAGAGTTTTAGCATTAAATATAACACTTTGCAAGAACTGGGAGAGAAGTGAAAATCAGAAAGATGCTGTCTTAGTTGTTTAATCCCCTCTTGCTTGCACCCTGCAAAGAATTCACAATGATGATTCCCTTGCAGCTTTTGTACATAATCAGTCATACCAATTTACATTTACTTTTATGTGGCTTAAGGGAAGGAAAATGTGGACTTCTGATTCTTGCGCAGCTCCGGTTAATAGTAACTGAGTTTGTGCTTGTGAAATCAAAGTTTGCCTCTAAGAACATGTTTATTTCTGGGATGAAGGAGGACAAAGCTAAACTGGAGAGTTTTGTGGGATACTGAGAAGTGGGATTTCATGGAGTGCCCATGTTCCTGCAGCTGTTCTTTTCAGCTTTCAGTTTTTCATGATAGAATAATTAAAAAACTTATTAAGATCAGGGGAATCCTGAAATCTTCTGAGGAAAATGAAAGCAGTGGTTTATTCCAGTAAGAGAGACTAGCACTCTGTTTGGATTCTTCTAAACTTTACCATAACTGCATACAGCAGCTTACTGAGAGCAAACACCTTCCCCAATTGCTGTATAAAGCAAAGTCACAATCTTATACAGGAACCACATTCATTCCATTCCTGTGGCTGTGCATCACGACATAACGAGATGTCTTACCAAGCTGGACTTTTCTGAGGCTTCTCTTTCATAAATCTGCTTTGTACATACTCTAGATCCCTTAGCTGTGCTTGGTAGGTGCTCCCAATCACTTTAATTCACATTAGGTAAAGAGGCCATGAACAACACAGCCAAGAAAACCCGATTAGCCGATAGGCAAGTCAGCAAGATCCGCGTTTGTTAGGAGAGTGGGTGTGCTGGGCAAACACTGCTAACCTGCTAAACCTACCATTATGTGCTTCATTCGAGAGAGAGGTTTTTTGCCTGGTAGCATTGCTGCTGCTGCTTATTGCCAAGGAACCTGCACTCTGCAATTATGACTGTAAGAGAGAAAACTTGCTGTTTGATTTCATTAAGGAAAGATAAGCTATAATATAGGTGAAATGTACCTACTTAGCCAAACTGTCTGGTGGTTTATGAAGCCTATATTAGGGAAGAAAAATCATAAATAAGTTACCTGAGGTGACCCATGTTTGTTTGCACCTCCCACATTTTATCTGAATCAGTGCAATCAGTATACATTAGAGACAATCAGTGTGTAAGCAGTGCAGACAGTATTCTTACTGATACCTCTCATTACATGAGGAATGTTTTGTGTTGCCAGGGGCCAAAGACTGGAAAGACACTGGGAACAAGTGACGTGCAGAATGACTTTTTAAAAAGCATGAGGAAAAGATCTAGCCTCTTACACTTTTGTGTAATAAGCTCTATATTAATTAACAATGGCATGTGCTGTTAGTAAAAATAAATCCTTTTATCAGTAATGCAAAACAAAAAACATGTTCTGTTTATACTTGCAGAGGAAATACTTATTCATTCCATGCTGTTAAATTATTTATGTTTTACCATGGAGACTTATTTTATGCTTCAAATAAATTTTTTAAAAAAGCAATTAACAGAAAACACTAACTTTAAAGGGCAAAAATTTAATCACTGAGTCTAGCTAAGAGTCTGTTGGCAATTGTGCCGCATCAGAAAAATATCCAAGATTAAAAAAATAATTCATTTGCTTAATAGTTCTTTGTGGTATAATGAAAAAAAAAAAAATGAAATGCCTGAACTATAGTATTACTGGACTAATTTAAGTGGTTCACCTGGAGCTCCAAAATGTCGTGTATTTCATGAGAAAGGGTTATTTACCAGGTCTTGCTTGAAAGTGTGTCTACTGTATACGGGTGGGAGAAGTTGTCTGATGGTAGTCTTTTTTTAAGCTTTATTATTTGTACAGTGATCACACAAAGTTTCTTGATTCTACGAGCTAGTCCATACCAAAATCATATTGCTAACCCTCCTTGTTTTTCTCAGTGAGGACAGGGATGTCCCAGATTCATTCCCAGGCAGAAGATGGTGATAACTTCTCAGGGCTCCTCCCCTTGCTCAGTTTGAGACAGGGCCCTGTGGGATGCTAGTAGACCCCAAGGGGACTCCATCCTTTTGGCCTTAGTGGCTCCTGTGGGAACTCTCTCCCTCCCACAGCCGGGGATTACTCAGTAGCCTGGTTAATGCCATAGCTGTGACAGGGGAGCTGCACCCCAGCTCTCTTCAAGTCACCTGTGACTCAAGAGCTGCAACTTGGCCACTCTGTTGTTGAATTAGTCTCTATAAAAGTAGGTGTTGCAGTTACAAAAAGGAAATACATCCCCTTGCCCAAAGAACTTAAATACAGTCCTGTGCTTATTTCTTTCCGTACTGAGATGGGTGTTTTGAAGATAAACTTCAAGTGACAGGTCAATTTTGTTCACACGTTCTGATGCAAAATGCAGAAGTCATGCATTTCATTGTGAAATCTATGCTGTGATGCTGTGGGACTCCGTGGGCTCACCATGAGATGTGATACTTCACAAATTACCATGCCAGCGTAACTCAGGCCTAAACTGAGCTGAACAAAAGATCTACTTTTAGTGTGTGATAATACAAAGATAAGAGGACTTAAACAAAGTGTTGGATTCTGACAACCATTTGTGTGTTGTTACATTTATAATGACCTGGGACTCTGATTCAAACTTTATGTCTGTCTTGAAAATGGAAAGCTTTTATGGAAACAGCCATACTTACAGAACAGCAATCTTTAAAAGTTTATTCCACAGGTACTTCTAATTGATTTTCCATTTCCACAGTTAGAACTGGTGCTGTATGTCTACTGGTGCCGTAGACATGAAGGAGAATACAACTGTGCTACAATTGTAATATTACAACACAATGTGAATTGAAAAGAAACACTAAGAAGTGTTTCCCATTTCCATTCACATTGTATTACAATGTATAGCATGTGATACAATGTATCACATTGTGTAACAACGTGTGGCATGTGTTACAATGTATCGCATGTGTTACAATGTATCGCATTGTGTAACAATGTATCGCTTGTGTTGCAGTGTATCACATTGTATTACAGTGTGAATTGTTACATTCTTCATTGCATTCATTGAACATATACATTCCTGATACAAATAAGCATATATAAGGACAGTCAGTCTGCTTTGTGCTCTGGCATGGCAGAACTGCTTAAGCACCTTTGTAGAGCACTTTTCATTATAACATCTAAACTTAAGGCAGCAATAAAATAAGGATGAACATTCATTTTCATGACTCTGCTATGATTTAGTGAAGCTTTGTGAGCTCAGGTTGTAACAGCTAGCAAAGCTTTGCATTTTCAAAGGTGAATGGTTGTTTAGAGTGTTCCTTATAGTTTTAAAACTCAAAGTGGGTAATCAAGCCTAAGGCCCCCCAGAATGGATGGCAGTATAGAAAGGCAGAGCTCTGGCTGGAGAGGAAGAAAGGAATAGCGTCTTTTGCAAATTTGGCACTGAAATGCCTTCACTACAGTTCTAGTAGACTTTTGCTGGAGTCTGCCAGCATCATACAAGAAACAGTTGCTCAGTATTATGTTGTCTGCCCCTTTATATTCAGTCCACAGAGAACATGGAGTCTACCAGTCTCTTGAAAAGAAGTCTGACTTAATCTGGAGGGACTTATGCTCCCAGTTTGGAAAGCCCCAGAACAAATCCAGGGAGTGGTCCAGATGGACACCATCCCCTTTCCCTAACAATGAGTGCACTGTGGGCACTCTTTGAACAATTTTTGATAAAATAGGTATAAACCAAGTTTCATGTGAGGGAGAATATCCTTATGGAGACATTGGCTTTGCCTGCGGTAGTTCTGCAACTCCCCTCATGTAGCGCAGAGGCGCACTTGTTCAGTGATGGTCATAAAAGAGACATTGGAACCTGTGTGACCTTCATGAGGGGCTCCCACTTAACCACTATTTTTTTACTCTCCAACATACGGTAGGAGCCTCTGAAGATCTGTTTCTTCTCTCAGGTGTGGTGTTGGCCTGAAAGTGATGCAGTGTGGGGAGCCTCATGACCTTCAGCTGCTTTTCTAGATCAGGCCAGAGAACTTTTTACCGCTCTTTCCTGTTAATTTCCCATGTACTCAGTAAATTATTAAGAGAATAAGATGTATCACTCTTGCCAATTTTAACAGGAAGCAAATTATGACTGGAGAATAAAACGTTTCACACATGTGAATTGGCTTTCTCTGCAGCCTTTTATTCTTGCAAAGGGAGGCAATCACTTATCTTACCTAACCTTAAAACCTGCTTGGTCAGGGAGTCACCAGCAGTCAAGGAGCTGGGGGACAGTCAAAGGAGTGTAAGTATTGTGTGGCATGATAAACAATGAAAGCAGGTTAAAACCCACATGGGAAAAAGCCAGTTTTCATTCATTCTGTGCTGTCACCAAACCCACTGAAAACCTCATTGGTGTGAATTGTCTGTGGAAGGACAGCTGCAAACACTCTAGCCTGACGTAGGGTGTATGTGTATAACTAGGGTTCTTGGCAATGGCTGAAGGGTGTTTTTCAAGGCCTTTCACAACTTTTGCAGTCTTATTTAATGTGAATTTGAGGACTCATTACACATTTAGAAGGGAGGAGGCAACTACTTTTCTCCAGGACGTTTGACTGGGAGGGCGCATGTACGTGACCCACTGCTAACGCACTTACAAAAGCACATCTGCACAAACCCAGTGATTCACCCTAGTGCAAAACTGCACAAGGATACATAGTGTGTGTACTTAAGGCAAAGAAGTAGTTGTTCCACGAAAGTGTACAGAGTTATTGCAAATACCTGGTAATTAATTTCCCACAAAAGACAGTAATGGCTCAAAGGAGCCCTCACAGGCTATAAGGTAAATAAACTGAGTGTTAATAGCTCCCAGGTAGGCCTGCAGAGCACCACTTGAAGGATATTTTTCAGGAAAGGTTCCATGTGGCTGTCATTGCTTAATAGTCCCTGACAGTAGGAAGAATATTTGCCCTGAAAGGCTTTGGACTATGAATGTGGAAGATTTTTGTGTGTGTGTTTCACTTTTTGTTTTAAAGGATATGTTCTTTCTTTCAATTTAAAAATCTTCCAAAGACTGAGAAAATACAACCTTATAGTAAAAGAAAATGCTTAAACTAGGACAAAGCATAGACCATAAAATATTTTTAGAGACCCAGCATGTTTCAGATCAAGATGTGAATGCAAAATAATGGATGAAGTACATCAACGTGCTGTTGATCAAATATTCAGGGTCCAAGGTCGTGTACTTTTCAGTATGTACTGGGGCAGAGTTTGATCTACTCCTCTGTAAAACCTCCTTCCTCCTTATACAGCTAGCACAAGGGCATAGAGTCACAGCAGTCCCTGGTTCCTTCCTCTTAAGGAAGCAAATCCCCAGAAAGGTGCCGTGACCTTTACCTCAGCCTGTGTACATGGATGATCCGTTCTGCTAAGCAACTGGCATGAGGAATGTTGCTGTGAAATGAGTGGGTCCCAGAGCATCCCTATCCAGGAAGCATTTGAGGTTGGCTGGCCTAGGAATTACTGAAAAGACAGCAGGCCTCCTACCCCATGTGAAGTGCAGTTTTTAATTTTACTTCACAGTTTGGATGTGTTTGTGCTGTCTCAGGGATACTTGAAATGTCACATAACGGGACACTGATTTGACTAGCAAGTCATAGTGGACCAAATTGTTCCCCAGCATCATTCCACTGCAGTCAATGGAGTTTTCTTGGAGATGGATTAGGTAATAAAACAGAACCAGCCAGCTTGACTGTGCAACATAAGAGTGCCCACTTTGCATGGATGTTGGTTCTAAAAAACTTTAAAAGTGCTCCATTACCTTACAAAAGTGCACAGAGCAGTTCTTGTCACTTAGTGTATAGGAAACTTGGAGGAAGAAACTTGCAGGGAAACTTGCTACTTCCTCATAGCTTGTAATCAAATTCTGCTGAGGCAGCTTACAGCCAATGTCTCTAATGTGCATTGCTGGTCAAAGGCTGTAAGCTGTCCCAGTAAAAAGGAGTTTTGCCTTGTGCACTCTTTTAGGTAACCACACTCACTTCTGCTTGTGCTGCATGCTGTAATGAGTTAGTAAAGAGAGAAGCCTGGAAAAAGAGTGGATTACAAAGAGCAGGGTTGCAGGTTTCCTTGTATAGCTTCTGTGACCTGTTTAAAATTAGCTCTCCTACTTTTCTAGAGTGTTTGAATTTACACAAAATGAGGAGCACGTACCTCAGATGCAGGGAGTCTAAAGGGAGAATGGTGGAGTCAAACAATGCTCCCCTCAGCCCTATAAAGATAACTGGGAAATCGTCACAGAATTATTCTCAGGTTTCTAATGTGCTCCAGTTTCAATGCTAATACGAAAGGTGTAACTTGTTCGTTTTCTGCTTTTGAAGAATTTACATTTACACTTTAAATTACCTTAATCTAAAATCTCGGTAGTTTGATCAAATTTGAGCGTTTTGCTGGTGCCATCAAGTGGCAAAATATTGGACTGCAGAACTCCAGCAGCATCCAAATTTGCTCAATCTCATGTCTCTTGAACAGCAGCGGTGAGGAAAATAATCCTTGCCAAGCCTCCTCCAAAAATACATCTATCTCTCTCTATATACACCAGAAAAATGGACTTAAATACACATGGTGTCATGGTTACTTCATTTACTTCATTTTGATCTGGATTCTAACTAGTAGAAAAGCTAATATTTTGTAGTATTACAAGTTGATAAATATGGACAACTTGTAAAGCAAACTCAGAGACCCTTGTTGAAGAGATACTAAACTGAAGGGGCACCATGCCGTATTCGGAATTTCCTTCCCAAATGCGTTTGCTCTCCTTTGTTAGTAGCTAATCCCTTTTTACAGAACACAGCCCTTCAGTTCTCTTATCATATCTGCACTTCATATCATGTGTGTGTAATATCACCACAGTAGAATGAATATTCAGTTTGCTGTTACATTCACTAAATTCACAACTGGTTAACACACAATTTAAACTTACAGTTCATCATTCATATGCACAACACTTTTTTTTCAGTTGGATGACATCATAGTATTGCTCAGTGGGAAAGCCTCTGTGCAAAGAGAAAGCATAAATGTATAAAACTTATGCTCTATATGCTTATAAAAATCCAAATAGATTGATATATTTTTGTCTTGATTTCTCAAATAACCCTTAATATCAAAACACATAGCTGCTACCAGTGTGGAAATCTATTCTGGGTTTCAAAATCTAAGTCGTGCAGGGCTGCATTTTGAGAGATGCTGAACACCCATGCCTGAATCCAAAGTTCCTGAGAACACTGAGCATTTCCCCCTATGAAAGCCTGGCCCTTACAGCCCCTCGCCGTGCACACCTAACACTTAGTAGGAGCTGTGGGAATGCCTTGAATGGGTGCAGGTTCCAACTTTTGACCCTATTGAGTTATTCCTACATTATGGGGATCACTTTCAGCTCCTTCTGATGCCAGAGGGCTCCCAGAATCTAGCCAAACTGCATGATGCTTTTCACTGAAAAGAATCTGAAGACAAGACAGGACCTTGTCTGTCTTTGAGTTTACACAATGGAAAACAAAGCAGTTGTTAGTATGGGACATCAGGTTAAAAAACCCCAACCAACCAAACAAAAAACACAACAGAAGAAAGGGCAAATGGGAGTGCCAAAATGAAGGAAATGCAGTTGGAAAAATCAGCCATAACCAGTAAGATTTTCCTGGTGTTAGAAATAACCTTATAGTTCTGACCTGGCCTTGCTAAAGCTGAGCTTCACCTAAAGAGTCTAATCAAGTGTGTGTTGCTAAAAGGAATGGATGGCCTTAGTTGCATGGCTGAAGAAGAGATGTTGGCTGCAAGAAAGGGAGAGAAATAGTGCTGAATCAGAAGGGATTTGTTTGACTTTTGTGGCTGGCTTAATGGACTCCCAGGGCTTGAGGGTTATAGCACAGTCTAGCAAGAACATGCTCATAACACTCTGGGTCTAACCACAAATTTGGAATGGGTATTGTTTTCTCTTTCCTCTTTAAGCATGTCCTTCCCACATGAGCGATGTCCAGTGTAATGCGTGCTTTTGTGCCATGGGTACTGTCACTTGGGCAACACAGGCATCTGTGGTCAGGCTTTCCCTTCCCTCTCTCGTGCAAGGCTGTGTGTTGAGAAGTGCCGAGCACCTCCATCGTCAACTGAAATCACTGAGACTCCCCTGCTCCCCTCTCAGCCCCATCACACCACAGTAGTATCCGACTGCCATCCCGGAGGCCAGGTCCCGTGCACCCTTCTGACAGGAGAGCTGGTGCTGAGGGTGCTCCCTTATGACAGACTGTGCCACAGGAAGGTGCTACTGTGGAGCAGCTATGCTCGCTTTAGAGACAAATTCAGGGGTTTAAGAGGTCTGAATGCTGATTTGGGAGGATCAATGCATACGTAGGATTGCCAGGACACAAACGGTCATTCTAGCATTAAAATGAAAACCTGCTGTTTTGGAAATGCTTAGATTTTGTGTAGTTCAACTGCTGTGCTTGTGAAGATGCACTTTTCACTAATTCTGTGTTTGATGCGTGTGGGTGACATGGCTCAATAAGTAAGACTCACTTTGCATTTGGAGTCTTTTGGAGCAGTGCCTCTGCAAAGTGGCAATAATTGTATCTGCAGAAGGACGTCTTTATGTTCCTTGCACTTACTTTGAAACAAGAGATGGATGACTTCTGCACTGGAAACTGCCTCTCCCACTTAGAAAGGCATGTATAGTTGTAGTAACTTGGCTGTAACTTGGAGAGGGGCCTGGCTGTGGGTGGGGGTTAGGACCAGGTGATCTCCACAGATCCCTTCCCAGCTGTGACTCCACCGCTCAGAAAAAGCAGCTCTCATGAGCTGTTGTCCCTGTGCTCTCCCTGCACCTTGGCATCTGCTGGGTAGTGCTGGGTAGCACCGGGCATCACTTCATTTCACTTTCCTCTTAAAGCCAGCTATACCAGCCCCTTGTTTCTCAGGGAACAAGAATTCCTTTGGGTTCTGCAGCTTTATACATAAGAAATTTGCCAGCATGTGTCAAAGCTGCAGATTAGTCATGTAGAGGTGCACTGGAAAATGTATTCTTCACTTTTTTCTCATAAAATTTCATAGACATCTTACAAAATTATTTTAAAAATGAAGCGCAAGCAAACACATCCCTCTTACCACTAGGTTTAGAACGACAGAGTCTGTGACTGGTGCTTGCCCTGTGTACTATACTTTCACAGCCCAAAGTCCTACACGTATATAGGAAATACCAATATCAGCATAATCTAATAATGTCTTATTTACTAGAAGGTTGTATTTAAATCAACCCTAACAGTGGGATTTTATTTAAGTATTTTTGTATGGTTCTTATGAAGAAGCAATATTTGCTCCATAAATATCAAATAATTCTCGCTGTGGATATTTCCTGAAGTTTTATTTACAAACTCTATTATAAACATATTTATTCAGGCTTCTCATACTTCTGCCACTGAAATTTGTGCCAGTGCTATCAGAAGCACAGCAACAAAAACACTTCGTTTTCATCTTGCCCACTTCAGCTTTCTCCTCTCTAATTATTTGCACTAGAGTAAGTTTCTGATTAATTTCTAGCCTATATCTCTGGTAGGTTTCATTGAGATCAGTGAAGGTGGTGCCCTTGAGGATACTGTAGCTCTGCTACTTACCTGGAAGCTAATCTGTGTAATACAGAAACCTTGTGTGGAGGAAAGGCTACTCTGTTTTGCCCCTACAATAGCACTATTAGGATTGTGGGTGCCTGGGTATGCTCTGAACAACTCTTCTGCAGTATTACTTTACTGTGAGGGTTGCCCGAGACAAACAACAAATGGATGTTATGAATATGGGTTTATAAAGTAGCTTGCAAACCTTTTCTACCTGTCTGACTGCTAAGTCGGGTTTCTGAGATGGGGCATGTAGTTGCTGAGACTCATCTACCTTCCTATTAGATACTATGCCTGAGTTGGCCAAAACTTTGCTTGCTTGCAATGTGAGGGTAGGAATGTAAAGACAGTTACACAGACTACATTCCACCTAGGCATTTTCCACCTTGTGGTAAAGAGAAGACTTGTTTCTTGACCTCTTTTTCTCTTCAGAGTCGGATTCACTTGGATGGATGAGGGCCTTTACACTAGTGTGCCAGAACAACAGATATTCCAGGGGATTGCATATTCAGACCAGAAAAACACAAGAGCAATAAAACTTCTTGTTTCAAGCTTATTATACATTCTTGCACTGATCCTGTCACTGTGGGGTCACAGCACCTTGCCATGCTCCTGGGATAGAAGTCCCATCAGCATCATCTAACAAGAGCAAGTGCTGGATTCTCCACCTGGGACAGGGTAATCCCGGTCATACATACAAACTGGGGGACAAGAAGCTGGAGAGCAGCGCCGCGGAAAGGGTTCTAGGGATTGGGTTGATGGCAAGTTGAATATGAGTCAGCACTGTGCCCTGACAGCCAGAAGGGCCAACCATATCCTGGGGTGCATCAAACACAGCGTCGCTGGCCAGTCGAGGGAGGTGAACAACTGCTAGACCTGTTGTTTGTGGACAGAGAAGGACTAGTAAGTGATGTGATGGTTCAGTGGCCATCTTGGGCATAGTGACCATGAAATGTTAGAGTTTTCAATACTGGGTGAAGTAAGGAGGGCCACCAGCAGAACTTCTACCTTGGACTTCCATTGGGCAGACTTTAGCCTGTGTAGGAGAAATATGTGAAATACGCGAAATATGCTAATTTTTTCCAAATTAGAAATGCAATATACATGTTGGTTTTATTCTTTATGAAAATTATTTCAGGAGATTTTGAACCCTAAAGCCACAGTATAATGTATTTTAGCAGTCCTCGTCTCGTGTAATCAACATATTTCCCAGGGAACTGATAGACTATTGCACAAAGTAGAAAATGTTTTGTTTCATTAAAACAAAAAAGAAAAATAGTATTTTGCCAGAAAAACATAACCATTAGAAAATACTTTCAGTAACAGTAAATGGATATCAAATACTTTTAATGGAATCATTTACCTTTATGAGTTCTGTTCTTACCTGTCTTGTAAGAGAGTTGGACGAGAAGGAATTTGAAGTGGAGTTAGTACCTCATTGGACTCAAAGGTTATTGATAGGATTTCAATTCATTCTATTTCTCTATAGTAGTGGGGCAGGTCATGCAGCAGCATCATGTTTCATATTTGAGCTTCTAGGGGAAGATACAGGGATAAAATACCAAATAGCAAAGTTTTTTTTAGTGCATCTGTATGCTAAGGAGGAAACATAGATGAGTTCTGCCTAGTTCTGGCAAGTGTCAACAGGAAACAATGATTGCTTTTACTACTGCTACTGGTTATTTGTACCAGGTTACAAAATAAAACAGAAAAAAGAGGCAGATTAAAGAGAGGTGATACTGTTGCTTTGTGTTACTGATGAACAGAAGCTAGAAATAAACTTTCAAGTAATGGGAGGAGAAAGTTTGAACTTTCACTCAGAAAGTCTCACTTGTGAAAGTCTCACTTGGTGAATTCAGATTCACTGTAAAGTTCTTCCAGTCCCATCTGAAAAGGACAATATTAAATCCATGATACTTTTCATAGCAAAGAATTTTTTCCTTAATTGCCATGATTTTTGTCTTTCTGCATCTATGCTGAGGAGAAATGTTTCAGTCCTCCTCTCATTTGAGTGAAGTTGTATTTCAACACTGGTTGATGAGCTCTTTGTCAGGAGAGATGCTATATTACGTCAATATAAACCCGTCTGCTCTCTAGAACACCATGTAGGCATTTATATCTGAACAAGTAGCCTCTGTTCTGAGCTGCTTTTTTGTGCAAAAGAAAAGCACCAGGACTTGCACTTTCTAGCCAGTGAAGCTCAGATTCAGACCATTGACAGTCTTCTCTCAAAAAACACCAGTAACTTCTTGAATGAAGTATATGAAGAAGCACTACTGCTTCCTCCCTCATCCTCCAGGAGCCAGCAGAGCATCCCCTTGTATCTGTGCCCTGCTTCTTCTAGAAGAACCCTTGGTTTTCCTGAGGAAGCCCTCAGGAGCCCATTTGCTCTCTGACAAGCTCAGTAGCGATGTGTAATAACCTTTAGTAGAAGTTCACAGGTACAAAGGGAAGCACTGAATTCACTCTGCTCTCCACAAGCTGTGACAAGCCTCCTTTTGACTAAAAACCAATGGCTTATTACATGGAGAAGGCTGAGAGGCCTTTGTTTTACCTCCTTACATTTTGAGTTGTACCTTTAAGCCCCTTCTGCATTGGTCCGCACTTAATGGTCTGCTAGCTTTTGGATATGGATCTTACAATGGCAAGAAGAGTCTGACGAGAGTGTCAAGGAGAAAGGAGCAATATATATCCGTCTCACTGATACATGTTTGCTATCCTGACTTTGGCCAAGCTTTGACGAAAAGGACATTTTGATCAAGCCCTCTTCTTCTCTGGCGTAAGTCAATGAAATGCAAAAGATTTTGCGTTGCCTTATTAAAACAAGAAACTAATTTGAAAATATTTGAAATATGTTATTCTTCCAGGATGTCTGGGGGTTTGGGCCATATGTATTGTAAGAAAAGAAGCTGATGTAGCATGTTCAAGCGAAAAAATTCAAATGAATTCTGTCATACTGGCAGTTTCTAGAGTGTTGGGTGGTCTGCTATGGTATCTACATGAGCACTATGGGAATCTTATACTGATGACTCAGATTCGAGTACTACTGGCTTGCAAAGAGAAAAACGTTCAGAGTTGTTGGTTCACAATCTGCAGATGGGCAAG